AATTATTGAATGCTGTTGAAGGCTAGACATTCAGTGATTTTCATTTATTATCTCACTACAGTCCTAGAAGGTAAGGATTAGTATTCCCATTTAACAGATGGGGAAAGTAAGGTTTAGAGAGATTAAGTTGCCCAAGGTCACATAGTTGGAAGTGGTGTCATCAGGTTGTTGGACATTAAAGAATTTATGTTTAATTCCCTGCACCAGTTGGAGCTCAATCAGAGAAGCAGTACCACTAGGAATGGCATAGATTTGTTTTAGGAATCGGACCTTGAAGCAACAATTTTTGGAGCTTATTGAGTGGCCCTTTGTAAGGCTATTGATCCCAATCAGTCACGGGGGCCTGCAATCGCAGGGTAGGTGGTCGGGAAGGAAAGATGGACATGAAGTGGGAGAGAGCAAGGACGACCTGGAGCCTGCGGGGACCAGCTGGTATTTGGAGAATTGCTTAGTGGTGATGAAGAACAAGCCCCCTGTAAAAAGTGGGGGTTCAGGACCTCTTTAGATGGGGAGCAGCTGTTAGAGTTGTAGGGAATGTAGGGGTGCTAGAAATGGGTAGAACACATGACAGTGTACATCTGTTTAAAAAAATGAAACTACTCATTATCTCAATATCGTTTCTAAAGTGTGTAAAGAAATGTAATAAAAACTATATGAGAATGTAAAATAAAACATACTATTCTCTCTGCCAGGACCTTCTACCCTTCAGGTTTCACCTGAAACAGACACATCTTCAGAAAGCCTTCTCTGACCTCCACTAGCGCCCACCCCAACCCGAACAGCATCCTCTGCCTCGGTTACTCTGTCCCATAATATCCTGCCATTTCCTTTCTTAATACACATCAAAATGCTAATTGAGTGGTTGTTTCTCTCGGAGCCTTCCCAAAGGGCATTTGACCTCTACTAAAATGAAGGAGGTTTCTCCTTTCCACCACGATATTTACAGTGTTTAACATATCACTGGATGTTTAATAATTACTGACAGATTGACTAAACAAATCAATCATGAGGAGACAAAATAATTTGTTTTGGGTGCTGCCTGAGTATATTTATAATTTCATTTGGCAGAGGTTTGTTGAATGGACATGATTTAGGCTGTTCTCAAAAGGATCACTGAAAAAAACAAACAAAAAACAAAACAAAAACACACACAAAAGGATCGTTGAAAAGAAAGTGATTCAATGACCTTACAAGTATCAACTACAGCATTCCCCCTTATCCACCGTTTTGCTTCCTGCAGCGTCCGTTACCTGCAGTCAACCACGGTCTGAAAACATTATATGGGAAATTCCCGAAATAAACAATCCATACGTTTTAAATTGCATGCCATTCTGAGTAGTCTCCAACTGTCCTGCTCTGTCCTGCCTGGATGTGAATAATCCCTTTGTCCACTGCGCATCCATTAGTCATTCAGTAGCCTTCTGGGTTATCAGACAGACTGTTTCGGTATCTCAGTGCTTGTGTTCAGGTACTTACTTCACTCAGTAATGGTCCCAGGTACAAGAGCAGTGATGCTGGCAATTCTGATATGCCAAGGAGAAGCCATAAAGTGCTTCCTTTAAGTGAAACGGTGAAAGTTCTTAATAAGAAAGGAAAAAATATCATATGCAATCCTATCAGATCCCTACAGCCACAAACGCCAAATCATCGATAAGAGCATTATCCCCATTTTACAGAAATGAGTAAGAAAGAGTCAGCTCCCAGGTGATGTCCATGCTGTCCCTGGACCACACTTTGATTCCCTAGGTTCTAGACCTTCAGCCCTCGACCCTCTGCACTCCCTACCTCCATTCTCCGGTGGACTCTCTCCTGAATTTGCTTCCCTCCTACCTACTGTGAACTCCAAGGGCAGTAACTTCAACTATACCTTGCCGCTTCGTCTTTCTGGAACAACCACCCTGGCAATCTCCGTCCCTGTCCTGATAAAACCTCCAGCCTCCAGCCACAGAACCATGAAAGGGAGCCATGGAACTGCCACTGTTTCTATAACAAATGTACGATTTCCAAAGTCAAATCAGCAGTCCTTCGCCTGCGTCCAGTCGGTCCCCTTTCCCATTCTTTACTGTAACTTTGCCTAAATTTAACTAATCTCAAGCCCCATCCCCTTCCTTTCAGGACTCCGCACACAACGATGAAAGGGGAACCTCTTCAAACCATCTAGAGGTCACTTTCAGCATAGTAACTGCTGCATACCTTTTTAAAAAAAAACACTCAAAAATCCAACAATATCGTATTAAAATTTTCCAACTCTTAGAAAATGCGGCTTACAGAGGTATTAATTAAACTAGATTATTTCTTGAATCAACACCTCACAGATGTGTGATGCTGCTATCGTCACAGGCCGCCTCAGGGTCCTAGGAGCTCAATTTTACAATAGGGTCTGTGACAAACGGGGGGCAGGCCAGTTCTGAACGCACATTTGATTCACCCAAAGCTCTTTAAAAAAAATCTTTCCTGGGCCTCATGGAGAGAAATCCTATTCAATTCATCTGGGGTGGGGCCCTGGCATACACCATTTTTAACCTGTTGAAGGGGAACGTTATTACAAATCAGTGGTTTTCAAACTTTTTATATTCACAGGACCTTTGGCACGAGTCCCTCATTTCCCCGACAGGTAATGCGGGGCAGGTGTGTGAGGTCTCTG